ACGTTTTTGATGTTGGTCGAGGTTTCGATGGGACAAGTAACTCTTTCCTGCTAAAAGAAATTTCGACTTCGCCAGTGGAATAACCAGTCTTTCTACGATTCATTCACGGTAAATTGATACTGGCATGTGCCAGGGAGTCGTGACCGTTGCCAGTTTGCTCCTACGCAATCCGCGAATGTGAAAGCCATCGAAATACTTTGCTAGCGGGCACTTGCTTCTGCTAATTGAAGCAAGTGCCCGCAAGCGAAGTCTGAGTGTCGCAGCTTCTTGAAAGGGAATAATACGAAGGAGTTTTTGTCTTTTGACATTACTGAAATTTACAGAATCTGCTCTATTGTTGTTGTCTTTGCAGTGCACACTGTTTTCTTTCCGGAGCCAGTTGCCGTCGACTCGGATAACACTCTGATTTTCGATGACAAGGATTTATACGTACGTTTCAATATTACCACTTCATAGTTGTTTTACACAATATCATTTAGCTTGCTTTGTGCCTGTTCATAAATGTATGGAAATTGCAGGAACAAATCCAACGAAATCCAAGGATAACGTGGATGATTTTTTTTTACACTGCTTGGTCACCAGATTGCAGACATGTTGCGCCTGTTTTTGCGGAACTCAGCGATAGGTATTCTTTCTTAGCCTTTGCTTATGAAGTTGTCGTTCAAAATTTGTGTTAAAGATTCTTGCATTTATTCCTACTATTATTTTTATTATTGTAATTAACATAAATCTATGCCCATATGCAACCGAGACATTTCATATTCAGCTTTAAAGCACACCTAGTTTTCGCCTACATGCAAGTGAAAATTTAGCTTGGGGCGCTGTTAGCTATTTCTATGAACTGCTTCGTTTAGGTTCAATTTACCAAATTTTCGATTTGCAAAATTAGACGTTGGAAGGTGGAGTGGGGAAGCGAATCGATTCCGCATCAATATTTGTCCCGGAAGCAAGCAGCTGCCAACAGTTCGTTCATTTCTAAGCGGTTCATTTTAAATACTGACTAAATGTTACGTGCAATATGCAGTAATGCAATCGC